AAGCTATTACCCGACGTCTTTAACGCTAGAACTACCAGCCGAATCAAAATGACCCATTAACGACTTTCCAAAAGTGAATTTTTATGTAAGTAAACCGTGATTGGAAAATTCGATTCATATCGGTACAGTCAGAAGCGTACATGTAGAAAATAAATTCGGAAAATTACGGACGATAATACTTACCAGTATTGAACATTCACGTTTTTTTAAAAGATACTACTGGGTCGTTTTGACCCGGTCGGTAGTTCTAGTGTTAAAACGTTCACAAGAGTCTCTTGTCCTACCTAAGAACACTGTTCAAATTCTACCTAAACAAATCACGTGAAATTCCATACAAAAATTCCTCGAACAAAATCACACACGATAACAACTTCAAGCTTAATTCCCACAAAAGTACCTTAATTTGCAACACTACAGACGTCTTTAAAACGTTCACAGTGGTCTTTTATCCTACCTAAGAACACTATTCAATTTTTATCAAACAAATCACGCAAAATAATTCCATACAAAAATCCCCCATGATAACAAAATCAAGCTTAATTCCCATAAAACTACCTTAATTTGCAACACTATGTTCGTCTTTAAAACCTTCACAGGCGTCTTTTATCCTACCTAAGAACACTGTTCAATTTTTATCAAACAAATCCCGCAAAATAATTCCATACAAAAATCCCCCACGATAACAACCTCAAGCTTAATTCCCACAAAAGTACCTTAATTTGCAACACTATGTTCGTCTTTAAAACCTTCACAGGCGTCTTTTATCCTACCCAAAAAAAACCCGGTTCAAATTCTCCCTACCCAAATCACACAAAACAATCCCACGTACCAAAACCAAACACCCAAAATAAATCACAGACAGTAACAACCAGAAACGCGTAACTCCCCCTCGAAAAAAAAAAGCTAATATCAGTCGGGCAAATTTCTGTCAAGCACACCAGACGAAAATCTCCCGAAAGCTAGAAATCCGCGCGCGTGTCGCGTAGGCGGAGGACGGTCCGAAAGCTTTATCCCGCAACGTTGCAGCATCACATGCAACCTTTCGATCCGCATAGTAATCATATCGCGAATTCCGTATGCCAAGAGGGAATAGGAAAAAAAGCGAGATGGCAAAGATCTTCGGAGCCAATGAACTCTCTCGATCGCAACGTACGAAACTCTCGCTTCTCTGAAACACGAAGATGACGAAGGAGCCTCGGACGAAGAGGTAGAGAAGAAGCTATATTATTCTTAGGAACGGCGTGCGCCGCTTTTCGGCTCGACTGTCGTCGATTTTCGTTTCTGGCCGGCATGGCGGAGCGTTTAAGCCTAAGCCGCATGCGTCGCGGCGCCTCGCCAAGACGAAAATTCAAAGCTAACTCTATTACGCCCTTCTAATAACGTTTCGAACCGCGAACGCTGCTGCTGTTTAGCTTGATCGTGCCGCGCCATACTGTTGTCCGATATTTTTTTCACGGCGAACCATTACACAGATATATACACATACGTATATCTACATATATAGATTCGCGTGAACGAACCGCGCGCGTCAATTAATTAAATAGTTATAAAACAAAGAGAGAAAAAGGATTAATCGTCGTGCCAGGGGGAGATAGAGGAAGAAAAACAGAGAGGAAGATATTCTCCATTGAGAAATTGATACAATCACGGCGATCGACGACTTTGCTCGGATTGGTACGACTCTACCTATAGATCTTCCCTTCGTTCGAGCGTTTCTTCGACGATCAACAACGGTTTTCTCTTCTTCGGAATTCGAACGGGAATTTTCCCTTATCTACGATTTTCCTTTGAAAAAAGTGTCTCTTCAGGTGTGTCGATTGGCTCTCGTTAGGACGACGGTGTGTGCCTCCTTTTTCCTCGATGTTCGAAATAGAAGATAAATGGAGAATTTTATGTTGCTGTACGTGTTGAGTGTAGTTTGTGGATAGATCCTCGAAAAAGTGGATCGTTCGGTTGGTGTTACGAAAATATCTCGAGGAACGATGTTGCCGCGGAGAGCACATTCGGCCGAGTCACATGCCCGCATAAGGATTGCATCACGTGGACACGGGATCACACTTCCGGAACTCGAAACTGTGTTTCGCGGACGATGACAGTCGTTTGGGAAATATAGCGTTTGCTGGAAAATTCGAAATTTGTAACACTGTAGTTGTTGGCCAGTGCAAACTTGAGACGTTTACAGAGAGAGAATTTTTTAGCGAATCTTTTCTACAATGAGAATTTCAATCGTTGACTATTAAGAGTAAATTTCGTCGTAGCTCGTTCGTTTCTCAATGTGAAGCGGTGAAAGATGTTGAAGAAGTCTCGAGACGCTTCGAGAGAGAATTTTCTAGTGAAATTTTACTACAATGAGAATTTCAGTCGTCGTTTATTAAGAATAAATTTTATTATTACTCGTCCGTTTCTCAATATTTCGAACGTCGAAAGAAGATGTCGAAGAAGACTCGAGACCCTTCCAGAGACAAGTTTTTCTAGTGAAATTTGACTACAATGAGAATTTCAGTCGTCGATTGTTAAAAATGTATTTCGTCATTGCTCGTTATGAAACGTTGAAAGAAGATGATGAAGAAGTTGAAAGAAGTTTCATGAGTAATCACATGCTATCATACGTTCTTTTAGTTAAGACCCGCGCGCGTTAGTCAGCAGCGACACAGCGCGTAACGTTGTGTTTAATAAACGCTTGTCCCGTCTCGAAAATATCGCGACCGCCGGTTTCATGATTGCACCTCGTGTTAAACACCGTTCATTATTAGCCACGATGATGTCATCGTACGAAAAGAAACGCACCGCGCGTACGAAACTTGACATTGACACAGCCGACGAGCCTTCCCTGTATTCTCAATCTCGGTTTCCTATTCGCACTTTCCACGTGCTGTCTTTCTCAACTTTCTTCCAGAATTTTCTTGCAAATCATAATTGAAATTCTCAGTGTATCGAAATTTTTATAAAGGATTTTTCACAAATTTTTGTTCCTTTTCTTTTTTAATTAGTCCGTCAGGTTTTTCCGATTGTTCGTTCCAGTACGAAAGACTGACAGTCACAGTGACGTCGAGTGGAACGAGTAACGATAAAGTTTAACGCTGACGTCATTGTTACTCGAACGTGAAACACAACGAAAACACGATGCATCAGCGTGGATTTTGCACAACGGTGAACGAGAGGCAAATCCAAACGGGACGATGACTGGGTTGCAACATTCCTCGTGGTTCGATACACCTATAGTGATGCTGTCATCTTTACGAAAACACTTGGCACCGTTCTACGCCAAAACGTTCTTTGATCCCCTTGACCACAATGAAGCAGGATTCGAACAACAACTGGTTCCAATTTCACGATTAATCCACGAATTCTGAAATCTCTTCTTCAATTCCACGACCTCTTTCAGTCTCTCTTCGTCAACGTTTCGCGGAATAATTGCAACGAAATAACGGAAGTTTAGTAGAAATTTGCAGGAATTATTTCTCTGACACCTTCGAACTCTTCAATTTCTTCGCGAATCCGACACCGATGGTATTCCTCGGGGGAAACGTTGGAAAAATTTCTTTGGAAGAAAACATTCCGACAAAATTTAATACGCAATTATTCCTGAATTCCTCAGACATTCCTCAGTAAAAAAAAAAAACATTCCAACGAAATAATCGAAATAATCAAAGTAAGAAGAAAAGAATTTCCATTCGAACAACTGACCAAACCACACTGAAACTCCCAGTCCCACCCTGAATCTTCCACCGACAACATTCCCCGCGAAAACAGTTCCAACGAAACGAACCAACACTTCTCTAGAGATTTCCCCCGAATTATCAAACCAACAAAAGAATAATTTCGATTCCAACAAGCGAGCAGTCGGCTCGCGTACAACCTCGCGTCGTCTACTTTTAGCCAACGCGTCCTCCGCTTTTGCTGGAGTAAAGCCAGCTACCGACGAACCAGCGACACGCATTTCCGATTCTAATTTCGTCGCACCTCTGCCTCGGACAATTCCTTCTAAACGATCGATCCTTCTCTCTTTCTCTCCCTTTTTTTCTCTCTCTTTCGTTCTCCTCCATCCTTCTTCTTGCCTTCCCTCGCGTGACGGCCATCTTCGACGCGATGCGCCACGACTACTGGCCACGTATTATCGGAGGAACCGTCCACCGCTACAGGAAATATGCTAAAATCTATTTTTAACGGTGGCCTCCGTACGCGAGCACGCTGCTAAGGGGCAAATCGTTTTCCGTTAGTAAGGTAGCGACCACGGACTCGCCGGCGGTCACGTTGGTGTCCCGTGGCTCTGTAAACACCGCCACTTCCGGTACTCTCGCTCCTCCACGCGTAAGTTCTCACCGTCCCGAGGCTCTTTCCATGGATTTTTCTCTCTCCACTTGAGCACAACTTCGCGGTCGTACGGACTGTTTTAATGGGACATTGAAAAATTGCTAAAGAGAGGTTCGATGAAAGAAAAGAGGAGGAAAAACTGGTTGTCGTTTGGAAGATCGTCCTCTTCTTTCGTAACTGGTTTGAAGATGTATCTCGTTCGAGCGTGGTTTCCCTTCTTCTCGAGAGAACGATCGTGGAGAATCGAAGAATGTTCGAAGACAATTGGTAAAAGTGTGCAAGAGTTTGGTAGTTGAAATGGTAAAGGATGTAAGTGAGAGAAACGGAAAATTTTCCTCTCGTTTGTTCACGTCGGCACTTACATCGTTTATCACCGCGATCTTCCGTCCATTTTCGCGAACTCAAAAGGGAAAATAAATGGCAAATTCATTTATTCTTAGCTCGTGCGTCGTTTATCATTTCAACGTCTAAATTAATCTCGCTGGTGTAAATAATTATTTCCGAGAACAGTTTTCTTCGCACAATTTTTCATCCAACCTTGTCAAACTGGAACAATCGAAGCGCGTAGCGTGTTAACCGCGACCTCGAAGAAACGCCAAAGAAAACACGCAGAAATACCTTCTGTTCGACGGTCGAGTGTGTAAAATATGGGAAAGAAAGAGAAAAAAATCGCTACTCCGTTGCAGGCTCGTCGACTCCCTGCGGAAGAAATCCAAGAAGGCGGACGAGGACTTGGAGGCGTTCGAGGACGCCGAGCGTGAGATCGAGCAGCTGAGGAAGCGTCTGAACGAGGCGCGCGAACGCGCCTCGAGCCTTTACGTATTCGAGCCGGATCAGGACGCTACCGAGAAGAAGCTCGACGAGTTGAGCTCGGAGGTCGAGCAACTCCTGGACACCGCGAAAAAGTTCTCAGAAAGCACTAAGGCGCGGTACCAAGCTAGCCAGCAGCTGGTACCCAGCGATCTTGCTCAACACTTGACTGCTCTAGAGTTGTGCGCTGAAGCAACGGCGCAAGTTATGGAGGAGAAACAGAGGGAACAGAAACGTGCTAGAACCGTCAGATCGGATTATCTGACCGATCTAGACGAGGTTCAAGCATGGATAAGACAGGCCGAATTGAAGGTACAAGACAGATCTATCGAGCCTGTCCCGTTGAAGGAGCAATTGAAGCAGGTGCAAGACGAGCTGGGGACGATCAGCGACAAGCTCGAACGATTAACGAGAAACGGCCGTGCTATTACGGAGAACACGAGGGACGAGACGGAGAAACAGTTGATCGACAGTACCGTGAACAGCGTGACCGATCAGTTGAACCAAGTTAGAAATTGGTTGGACGAGAGGAAGCAAGTGGTCGCTAACGCGATCGACGCTTGGCAGAGATTCTTCGCTTTGCACGAAGCGGTGAAAGCTTGGACAGAGGAGAAGAGACAGTTCCTAGTTGAGCCGTTGAAGCTCAGCACCCTCGTGCAGGCTAGGCAGAGGCTGCACGAGTACTCGGTACGTGGAGGATCTATGGTCACGCTGATCTGTTGCTTCTCTGGACTCTGAAAAAGATGAACACGTTGACTGCCACGGTGGTTATCAGCGACCAGAGGGGCACAAATGTTTGGAGTAATTAACCCTTTCGCTGCTATTGGCGCCTATAGGCGCTTTGAAAATTTATTTATTAACCTCTTCCACGTTAGTTCAATGAAACAAATTTTAAAGTGATCGTGGAACATCTGAATCTGTCACGCGCGTTATGTACTAAAATTTGCCGCGGCGAATGGGTTCAAATGAAACTAATATCGTAAATAAAAAAATTGTAAAGCATAACATAATACTATTCTTCCGGCCCCCTGAGTAAAACGTGTCAATCTGGCGTAGCAGTCAACGTGTTAACACGACGTCCCTTTTTTTAAGATCGAATTCTTCTGTCTCTCTTTCGTAGCTTTCCTTTTTTACGGAGAAGACACTTAGGGAACGTTCTTCTCTCTCAAATTCGCTGACTTTTTCATAAAATTCAAAAGACACCTAGGTGGTACTGTGACAATTGAGACAAAACTCGCGTTAACTCGGTATCTCAGAGGCAAGAGAAAATGCAGTTCAGTGGTGTGAAATTCTCCTCTGATTCTATTAATGTTTCCAATTGGTTCCGCGTCGCGTTGCAGACAGCCGTAAAGAGCTGCAAGGAGATCAACAAGAATCTCAGCGAGATGGGTAAAGAGCTGGAGTGTGTCGGTCAGGTTTGCAGCGTGGGTGATTTGCCCGAGAAGTTGCTCGAAGTTGAAGAGGCAAAGGTTCACGTGGAGGGTCAACTGTTGGAAAGGGTTAGTGTTTGTTCGACGACAGATTCTCTCTTTCTGTGAGAAAATAGGCGTGCGTTAGAGAGAGGTTACGACACGTGGTTTCGAACTGTTCTAAATTTCAGAACGCGTTGCTGCAAGACACTAGCGAGGAATGGGAGCAGTGCGAGCGAAAGATGAAGGAGGTGAAAACGTGGATCGAGAAAGCGAAACAGTGTCTCGAATCGGCGCAGAACAAAAAGAAACCGTTGCGGGATCAGCACAGTATACGTGAGAAAATGCTGAGCGACATAGCTATACAGAAAACGAAAATCAGTATATCGAGGGAGAAGCTTCAGGTCCATTTCCGTGCTGGGATCGGCGACGATAGTAGAATCAACGAGACCGTAGACGAGATGTCCGCCGAGTTGGACAGCCTTCAGAACAGCGTGAAAGAACAGACCACGTCGTTAGAGGCTTGTTTAGCTCAGATCGATCAATATCAACAGGTTAGAGGACCGTAAACAGCCTGGTAGTCGACGACGAACATGAACGTTTCGCTCGTACTCTTCTGCCATCGACTATTCTAGTAGCTGTATTCTTTTGGAACGTGATTGCTGATCCGACAGAGGTAGACGAAAAATCTGGGCAACCACAAATACGATAAAAACTTAGAAAAACAAGAAAGAAGCAAATTTCTTGTACCGTTCGAACTTTCTCACTTCGTTCATTTTGCCAATGACAAAGAATTAGAAGTAGTTAGATGATCGAGTAGTCGAGGAACGAAATAAGGATCAGCAATCGCATTTAAAGCTTTCAAGAAGAATACAGCTGACACCTGTTTGTCGTTCCAGGAGATACAACAGTTGAGGCAACAGATTATGCAGGTGGAGCAGCAACTGAGGACACTGCTCAGCCCGACATACCTGTCCACCGACAAGGAGAAGGCGTTGCAGGAGCAACAGGTAGGTTTGCCTTGATCCCACCTTTTTACCACCTGCACAAGTGCGCTAAAGCAGCAAGTTGATTTTTTGCATTTGCTCGATACCAACTGAAGACCACCACCAAGATATACGTCGCGTTTTATCTCTCCCTCTCTGTCGTTCTTTTTGTTATTTTTTTTTTTTCTTTCTTTTTTCTCTACGCAATTCGGGCGATCTCTATGCGCGTACGTGTGTTATACTCGCGAACAGGGATAACTTTGCTCTCGAGACAATGTGCCTGCTCTCTCCGTAACTTCTCAAGTGACTAACAATTAACACCGTCGATCGAGCCTCATTTTACCCCTAACCGCGTGTCTCGTGAAATTTTCATCGACCACATATGTATGCGTTGTTAATAATTTCTGGTCGTTAAAAATTTCCAACAAACTAATCGAAACTGGAAACATTTTGACTGATCCAACATGCAGAGACGTTTCTCGTCGAAGAGACAGAGGTCGACAGTACCATTTTCTCTTATCATTTCTATCAAAGTGTTTCCGTGGAAATTCTAATCAAATTGTCCATTTATCCTGGTCCTGTTCCAATTTTCTAATCTTCATTTCGTACGCACATATGTCTGTATTAATCTACTAACCCCTTTTCTCTATCAAAGCTGTCTGAACTAACAAAACACGTAACTACTCTCTAATTCTCGAGCTTCTAATTTAGTTGGAATAAGTATAATCATCGATCTACACATTTCCTCTCTCTCTCTCTCTCTCATTTTCTCTAACTCAGTCTCTCTCTCTCTCTCTCTCTCTCTATACTTCTTCCTATCTGCATCTCTCTGCAAACTAAATCAATTTTGCGATCATTAATGCTGCTTCGAAAAAGTCTCGAAATGAAAAACTGGAAAATTCGCTCGATAGATCAAATGAAAAATTGGAAAAAGAGAATCGATCGTTCCGTCGCCGTGACGCGAGGATCGAACGATCGAAGCATGCCTTTATCATCGTGGTGGTACATCTGTTTACGCGGTTTTGGTTGGTATCACGCTCATTGACCAAGGTTTTTCTCTCACTGGTTCTCTATCTGTAACGGGAGATCAATCGATCATATGTCACTGTCACGCACGTATCTCTGCGTTTACTACTCGTCTGTCTATATACTCTTAGTTCTTAGCAAAACTCTACTGTTCTATTTTCTATCATCCGTGTACATCACAACTCACTTAACTATATATCACACACCCGCCATATATATATGTTGTTTCCGTGATGGGGATTACTTGATTTTTTGGCTTGTTTTTTCTTTTCTTTTCTTTGTGTAAGTCACGTGTTCTATCTTTTCTTCTTTATTTTCCTCGCCGTTTTCTCACTTGTCTACTGTGTATCAAACTACTGTGTACAAAAAGGGTACACACGTGGAATTGTAACACACTTTAGGTATATTTCTATACATAGAAGTAGAATTTACAAAGAGACAGAAGGAAACTTATCTATATTGTACATGAATTTTTTTTTTTTTTTTTTAAATGAACAACGAAACGACGATTGTGTCTTGCATACGTTTCGTCCACCGCGAACACAGAAATCTGTCCCACAACACGATCACCGTAGGCTTTTTCGATCGAGTTTCTGTCGTCACAGAATGTGTACCTATTTAGCTCAGCTGATACACACGTTACCACGTATGTACATTACGCCGATTGTGATTGCTGCGCGTGTCACGCGAGCGTTTGTTCGATCGAGATGAGTTTTGTTGACGACGGCGAACCGCGGAAACGGAAGATACGCAGGAAAATCAAGTGACCTCCAAAAAAAACAAAAAGAAAAATACAGAAACGCGCGTCGAGACTTGTGAGAACGCAGCGAGCACAAGTGAACTCTCCGGGATACTAGTCGATTCTTTACCACTTACTTCTATTAATCTCATATTCGTCTATTTCATTCTTCTTTCTTAATCTTCATACTGTGTTTGATTTTCCTTTTTTTTTCTTCTTCTCTGTTTCTTTTAATTAATCGTCTTTAATCCATTCGCATCGGCTATATGATTTACGAAATTTTCTTTGCTACACCCTTACCTTCCTCTCCTTGAAAAATAAAAATCCTCGAAAAAATCACCTTCTGTTTCGTTCATCGTTTCTGCTTCGCCATCGTCGTCTTTCGGTTCTATACTCCTCCCCCCTTCTCTATTGGTTGGTTTCTCCGCTAAATCTCCGCCATCGTTTATTTTTTTTTGGTTTCTTGGATCTCTGTCTCTCTCCATCCTCGATCGAAATTTCACGATCTCTGCGTTTGCTCGATCTCGCTCGATCGCTCGGCGTTTTGTCACCTCCTCTTGCTTTGTTGCGTTTCGTTTCGTTAGATCTATCGGGAGAAGATCAAGTGGTTGCAGAGTAAAATTCGCGCGCGTACAGAAAGGTTGAAGATTCTCGCGCAACGAGGCATACCAGTCCCGGAAACGTTGGATCCATGACCGGAGTGTAGTCGGTGTTAGAGATCGTTTAAAAAGGAAAAATTACAAAAAAAAAAAGCAAATAAACGACGATCGACTAACCGAAATTAGTGTCGTTCCTCGCGTTCGTTTCTTTTTTTCTGAAACCCGGTATAGTTCCGCGCGTTCCATTCCGTTAACGAAGGGAACGTCGTCGTCTGTAGACTGACGTGGAGACGATTCGAAAACGTCGACGTTTATCTCGAGTAAACTTCTTTCTCCTGAAAACAAAAAAAGAAACTTTATCGTTCGTCGTGTGCCAGGCGTAGAGAGCAGACTTGCGTACAAACGAGATAAACGAATCGAACAGTTTCGTTCTGTTTTTTGCGACAAAAGAAATAGACGAGCAGAGAATAAAGTGTCCACCTCGTTGCAAAAGAAATACAAATAGAAACGTGCCAGGCCTGTTTGT